CCACTGTTGAAACTGATCAGTTTCAGCAGCGGCTGAATCTGGACGCCAGTTCCGACTTACATACAGATTCAACTTAAGAACAAACCTACAGTCCCTATCTTGTACGTAACCTGGGGACTGCCTGTACTTATCCATCCTAGAGATAAGACTTTGGAATTTGGTCCTGTTCTGAACAACACCATTCATCCTCTGCAGGCCCTCCCATAGGAACCCCCAGGACATGTCAACTACAAACTTGGGCTGGGTGGCCCAGGGGAGGAAGTAGGCATAACCATGACTTTCCTATTAGAGTCCCAGGTATTTCCCAGTGGTGTGGAGAAAATAAATAAGGAAAAGTTATTTACTTGTTCCCATTACACAAGAACTAGAGATCACCACATGAAATTAATAGGGAGAAGGCTTAAAACAAACAAAAGAAAGTATTTCTTCACACAATGCACAAACTGTGGAACTCCTTTCCAGAAGATATTGTGAAGACCAGGACTTTAACAGGTTTAAAAAAAAAGAGCTAGAGAAACGGTTATTAATCAGGATGGGCAGAGGTGGTGCGGTCTTACCTTGCCCATTTTTCTGATTAGGCAAGCTCCAATGGACTCCAATATAGTCAATGGAGGCCGAAGGGATGCCTAGAGGAGTTTCCAGGATCAGCATCTGAAGCTATGAGCCTGTTTCTTATGGGCCATTATTTTTCCTTCTTTCTCACTGGATTCATTTCTGTTGATTTCTTCACTTATATGAGGCTTTAATTACCTATGCTATTATTCTGTAATAGTCTTTATAATATTGCATTTCTATAACCATAGGTATATGCTGTTCTACCTCTTTCTTATAATCTCTCTTTATTACCCTATATTGATTAGTCCTCATTATGCAGCTTTCTCTCACTTCAAAGAGGAGGCAGGCTCTGTTTATTTTAGCCTTGGCTCTGTTCCCCTTAGCTTTTGACTCTGTTAATTGGTATTCATCCATCTGCTGATCATTTATTCATTATTGTTATTAGGGGCTAGACCGAGTTCTCTCAGCCCCTCCCCAGACCCAGTCTCCCTACTGGCTCCCTAGCACCAGAGCCCTTGCGGAGGGGCGGGACTAAATCGGCCTTGTTTATCCCTTCCACGTGTTTCTCCCCATGTGTCTCCCAGGGGGCGGAGCTAAGCGCCGCAGAATCAATGATTGGTGCCAGGCATTCGGAAGGGGCGTGGTTAGGGTGGTACCCGCGCACGGGCCAGGATTAAATGGTCTGGGACGGGCAGCGTGAATAGCGTAGCTGCCCCCGGCTGTGGACTTAGGTGAGTGTTACTTGTCTGGGGTTTGTGCTTCTCTGGGATCCCGGTGCCCAGCTCCCACCCATGGGCTGTAGAGGGCAGATTTCCACCGCCCAATTTCCCTGTCCACCCCCCGCTGTGGTTCTTCTGCCACGCCAGAGGTGTGAGTCTCTTCCCAGATGTAGCAGCCAGTCTGGGCTAGGAACAGGATAATGTGGTGCGTGTGGCTGTTTCCTTCCCCTCTGGGAAGTCTGCTGTCCTGTAGCTCAGCCAGGAACCCTCCCACAATGAGCCGGGTGTGATTGGTGCCTACAGCTTTTGTGTGATCACTGGCTACCTAGCAGAGTTCCAAGGCACTGACCTTGGTCCAGAGGATGATAAAACTTCCTCCAGGAGCTGTGTCTGGGAGCTAACAAAAACCTGGTCAGTGGCCACAAACCTCTCAGCCTAGTTACCTCTGGGCTCTCCAAGCACTGCTGCTTGCTCCACCTTCCCTAGTTATTTAGAAACCTAGTCATGTGGTAAACTGTGTCCTTGCTTGCTTTGAGGCAGCTCTGGGTGGAACAGAACTTGTGCCATGAGGGCTAAGAGCCTGTCTAAACCCCTCTCTGTCACAGAACCCTCCAATCAGCACCATGGGAAAAGAGAAAATCCACATCAACATTGTGGTGATTGGCCATGTGGACTCTGGGAAATCCACCACCACTGGGCACCTCATCTACAAGTGTGGGGGCATCGACAAGCGAACCATCGAGAAGTTTGAGAAGGAGGCAGCTGAGGTCAGGACAGCGATGCTGAATAGATGGGCTCAGGTGTCCCTTGCTCTGTGGGGGTTGCTGTTGGACATGTAGCTTGAGTGTTGCCCAAGCTGTGATTTAGAGGCTTAGGATTTTTCATGATGAGTGGTGGGGGAGGGTGCCTGGAGAGCCAAGAGGCTGCTCCTGTTTTGAGGTCCATGGGTACATCTGCCACTCAAGGCCTTGCCTATATTAAAGATATTTGCATCAGCGTCACTCTGCTGATACTTTGATCCTAAGTGTGTCTCTAACCCTCCCCTCCCCACAAAGGTTCCATAAGGATCAATGGAATCACTCTCGAAGCGGGGAAGGGTTTGACACAACTTGCTGCAGTAAATGGCAGCTCTCAAACCCACTGGAATCCCCCTTGCAAACAGTACCCAAGTTAAAGGCCTCTTATGTTTCAGGTGGGGGAGCAACAAATGGGAGCTGTTCCTAGTGACTCTGTCTCCCTGCCCCAAACACTAGTGTAACTGGTGCCTCCTCTTGCCACACAGATGGGAAAGGGCTCCTTCAAATACGCCTGGGTGCTGGACAAGCTGAAGGCCGAGCGGGAGCGGGGGATCACCATTGACATCTCCCTGTGGAAGTTTGAGACCACCAAGTACTACATCACCATCATCGATGCCCCTGGCCACAGGGACTTCATCAAGAACATGATCACTGGCACCTCTCAGGTACAGGCTGGCCCTGCTTAGGATGAAGGTGGTGAAGTATCTGGAGCTAGAATTGTGGTATGCTCTTACACTGTTTCCCTTCCCCACACAGGCTGACTGTGCGGTGCTGATTGTGGCAGCTGGCGTGGGAGAGTTTGAAGCTGGCATCTCAAAGAACGGGCAGACCCGTGAGCATGCCCTGCTGGCCTACACACTGGGGGTGAAGCAGCTCATTGTTGGTGTTAACAAGATGGACTCCACGGAGCCCCCTTTCAGTGGCAAGCGCTACCAGGAGATCACCAAGGAAGTGGGGGCCTACATCAAGAAGATTGGCTACAACCCAGCATCTGTGGCGTTTGTGCCAATCTCTGGCTGGCATGGGGACAACATGCTGGAGGCCAGTGCCAAGGTGAGTAGCTGGCATGTTTGTGCCAAAATGGAATGGGCATGGGAGAGCCTAGGCAGTAGGAGAACCCTGTTTGCAGTCAGGAATTTAAGTGGAGAAGGGATAGGATCTGGGGGCTCACAGCTTTATTCTTCCAAGGTATGTTCCATATTAACTTCCAGACTCCTTTTCCCCCCTCCCCCTCACTGCTAGTCTAGAGCACAGTGGGCATGAATATAACATGGCCCTCCTGTGTCAAACCAAAGGTCCATCAAGCCCTGTGTCCGGTCTTCTGACAGTGGCCAGTGCCACGTGCTCCAGAGGGAGTGAATAGAACCGGGAAGAATCATGTGATTCCCTCCCCGGTTGGCCATTCCCAGCTCCTGACAAATGTTAGGGATAGCCATTAGTCTGGATGGTATTGATGAATTTACCAAGGATGTGGGGTGTGGTGTAGCTTTTGTTTTTGTTCTTGGGTTTTTTTCTTGCCTTCAACATTCTCTGGCAAGGAGTTCTGCAGACTTGTCTATTGTATGATCAAATTTTTTTTTTAAACCTGTTGCCTATTCTTATTGACTTCTGGAAAGCAGTAAATCTCTCTCTCCTCCTC